CCGCCCAAAACATGCCCACCGCCCCCCTACCGCCCAAAACAAGTTCACCGCCCCTCAGCATCCTCCCACCGCCCCCCAGGGGGCGGTACCGTCCCCATTGAGAACCAATGATCTAGGCTCATGACTTCTGATAATTAGTACGTAGCCATTGTTATAGCAAAAAGAAGAGGAAGATTATCCAGAAACCCTCACTGGAACTAGGTGAAATGAAAAATCTCCTCTTCAAATATTTGAAATTACATTATGCCATAGAGTTTGCTTTTAAATCTTCTTTTTCTAGGCTGGAATGTTGATTTATTCAGAAAATGTCAGCCCCCGTTTATCCAAAGATGTGAAAATTCGGTCTAGTGGTTAAGGCACCAGGTTAGAAAGCAGGAGACTGTGAGTTCTACTCCTGCCTTAGGTATGAAAGCCAGCTGGTTGACTTTGGGCCATTCAATCTCTCTCAGCCCAACTCACCTCATAGGGTTGTTGTTGTGGGGAAAATAGGAGGAGGAAGGAGTATTAGGTATGTTTGCTGCCTTGAATTATTTATAAAAATAATAAAGGTGGGATAAAAAAAATTAGGCATGAAAACAAACAAATTTGTGAAATCTAATAACCCAGAAGGGTTTTGATCAAGTTTTCAGTGACTTCAGTGTCCTGTTTTGGCTACAAACATCTTGACTGAAACAGCTCACATATAATCAACATTTATGTTTCGCTTTTCATGCATTACAGGTTTTCAGTTACTGTAGATTCACAGCCGTTTCAAATTATTCTTGCTTGAAAACCAGCAGTGAGTTCACAAACTCAAGGGAAATGTCAGTTTTTGTGCTTGACATAGGTCATATATTTGAAATATATTAGATGTGAAGTAAACAACTATTTAGAAGTTAACCTCTGTTTATATAGCTTTTAATCAGGATTATTCTTGGCTTTAGGAATTGATCATGTTAAAGTAAGCATCTGTAATATGGAACATTCAATATATGTGCCTTTGATTCTGGGTTATTACAACCTGATATTATATTGCTCATTTGAACCAGCTAGATATACCTTAAGAACTTCTGTACACTGAAAAACATACTTATTAATAGGATGCAAAGCCTTACACTATGAAGTGCTAGATAGAAAATATAAGAAGATTCTGCTGTTGTGGCTTTGAAGCAATATAATCACTAGACTATGTGCTTTTAAGCTGGTGTGAGGATGTTCATTGTTTACTAATTACCTACTCATAATATAACTCTTATTATGGTCCAAGACCAGATATGGATGACTCAGAAACATCAGTCATTTTTTTTTTTAAATTTCAGCCCAGACGTAAAGGTATGTGTAAAAGTAGCTAAATTTTGTGGGGTAGTTCGTAAAATCTGAGGAAAAAAATGTAACACCGATCCGAAGATTTAATCTCCAGACATTTTAGTTTTGAGACAGGCCTTTAATTTCATTGTTCTGATTTTGAATTGCCATAGATATTAAATCTAAGTTTCACAAAATAGTATTTCAAGTACAAGCTTCTGGAGTTTTGGAAATCAGTTAATTTGGTGATATTAAGCTTTGAAAGAAACTTAGTCAGAATTTTCAGGGAGAAACTAAACTGCCTTTCCTGATCACTCATCACCAAATATTCTTGTTAGCAAGGAAGTATTCTTCAGAATCCTTGCAATCATCAGTGCTGTTTAATTAATATCGCAATATGTATTTTCTTGTCTTGTATTGCAGGTGAGATAATTTCTGCTCTAAAGGAAACAGGACTGCTTGGAAGAACTCATGTAATATTTAGTGCAGATCATGGAGAACTTGCTATGGAACACAGACAGTTCTATAAAATGAGCATGTATGAAGCAAGTTCCCATATTCCCCTCCTTATAATGGGGCCAAATATTAAGTCACAGTTTGTATCAAATATGGTGTCCCTTGTGGATATCTATCCCACCATGCTTGGTAAGCAACATTTATCCTAGAGCAGTAAAATCAATATTTATGGGATTGTTTACCTTTTTAAAGTTTTGTTTGTTGCCATTGTTTTACCTGTTGCTTTATCTATTCTTTCTGGATTAATTACATGGGGCAGTCCTAGCTGATAGGAATAACAAAGTTATCAGAATACTGCCAAGACCTTAAGCAATTAATCAAAGTTTGCAATGACATTGAAGGCAAAGAAAGATGATTGAGAATGAGGCCGGTGCCTTGTAGACCAGTCATATGGTCCCATCCAGTTGGAGCTAATGTAGTCAGTAAGATTATACAATTGCCAACTGGTAGTCCTAGAAGTATGGTCACGTACTAAAGATATTGGCCAGATATGCTTCAGCCTCTCCTGGTCTTTCTTGGGGGCTAAACCAATAGTCTGATTAATAATCTACACTTTTCTATACCTCTTGTGTTTTGGGGAATATGGTTCTTCAAACTATTATCTTTACTCTAGCAACTAATTCCCTTTTGGTGATTGGTGCTCACATGATATAAACTGGCAAAACAGTGCATCAAAAAATGCTTCTCCCTATATCCACTTGTATTTTTTAATCCTCAATCCAGTGGCTCTTATTGGCACAATTGTTTTAGGATTTGTGTATTTGTTACTATTTCCAGTTTTCAAAGCATTAATACCTTTTCATTTGGCCCAGTGCCCCTCATTACTACAGAGATGGTAAGATACTGTAGCTGGTTTTTCTGGTTGCTTTCTGGCCAGTCTCCTCAAGAGGGGCTTCCCCTTTTTGGGAGCTGGTGGACCCCTTCCTAGTTATGGAGTATCTGGAAAACCTTAGAATAACTGTATATACAATTCATATTTTTGTTGTCTTGGCTAGGAGTATTTTGTAATGTTATGTTATATAGCCCTGCAAATGATGGAAAGGAACAAAGCTAACCTATCAATGTATGGTTTGATGACATTATCTGGGGTAATTGATTAAAGTGCTATGGATTCTTCTGATTCTAAGGCTGAAGAGGAAAACATAGTAGATTCTCAGCCTGCGATTCAAATGCTGTCAACCATTTGTGAGTTATAGGTCTGAATGAGTGCAAATGGTCACTGATTCATTTAGTAAGAAGTCAGAAACTATCCTTAGGAAAATGCCAAGCCCTAAATACAACTACCAGCTAAGAAAGCCAAGCAGTAGAGATCAGCATGGCTCCTTTCTAATTAAGCAAAGACAGGAACTCTTGCTAAATAAGACTGTGCTGTAGATCCCCTCCCCTGATTAGAAAAAAATACCCTGTTTTCTGACCTGTGTTCCTGTAATATCCTGCTCCACATTCCTCCGTTTTCCAAGTGAGGTACATCCCCAGTCCCCACAACAATTGTGCCATGCATTGTCTCAGAAACTGGAATATTGTGGAGTTGGAGATTCACAACTTTGCAGGCTCTTTAACAGTTGCTATAGAGTGATCCTTATGTTCAGGTGCAGCTTCAGAAATCCAGAATGCTACTAGTTTTGTCCTACCAATGGTCCTGGGATAATGGAATTATATGCTACCAAGTTGCTGTTACATTCTCACTGTTCTGCTGTGGAGGAAGTCTTGCAGCTTGCCACAACAGTCCCCCACAGGACACCTTGATTTTTCAGGACTCTCTATCTGATCTTAAGAGACTCTTTTTTTAGATCTTTTTTATCCTGCCTTTATTATTTTTATAAATAACTCAAGGTGGCAAACATGCCTAATATTCCTTCC